TTTGTACGGACAGAAGTTTCGTACGTCGTCTTGTTGGCTTGAGGCTGGAGAGAAGCAGTTTATGGGCCCCGAGATAGTCCATCAGACTGCTGAAAAGTTGAAAGTGATTAGAGAAAGGATGTTAGCAGCTCAAGATCGTCAAAAGAGCTATGCTGACAAGAAGAGGCGACCGATGAAATTCGAAGTTGGAGATTCGGTTTTGCTCAATGTCTCACCATAAAAGGGACTTATAAGATTTGGGAAAAGAGGAAAGTTGAGTCCAAGGTTTATTTGACCATTCAAAGTTCTTCAAAGGATTGGGAACCAAGCTTACAAACTAGAACTACCAGAAGAACTAGATGGTATTCATAACACCTTCCATGTGAGTTACATGAGGAAGTTTACGAGAGAAGTTCCCGATATAATTCCAATTTCAGAGTTAAGGATGGATGAAAATAAGAGGGTAATCGAAGATCCTAAGGCAATTGTTGACCGCAAGACGAAAAAATTACGACGCAAGATGGTCGAATTAGTGCTTGTGTGATGGAAACATACGAATGGGCCAAACAGATAAAAAACAGAGAAGAATTGATAGGAATCGGTTGTTTTTTTTGTATATTACAATGAGGAAGAGAAACCACAATTTATACTAAATTACAATGATCTAAATATGGAAGAAATACTATTGCTGGTTGTCAATTCTTAGTGAATGGAAAGCAGATATACGTTCTCCTAATTGCAAGGGATATGATGTGATTGGTCACCAATCTTGCTGATCTCATTGAGCCTTACTTTTAACACTCCCCCTCAAGTTGAATAATGGGATTTCCAAAATTCAACTTTCCCAGACATTCGTTTAGATTTTTTTCAATAACAGCTTTTGTCAAGATATCAACAAGTTGGTCCTCTGATCGAACAAACGGGAGTGTGATGATCTTTGCTTCCAACATCTCCTTGATGAAGTGTTGATCTACTTCTATGTGCTTCGTTCGATCATGCTGAACTGGATTCTCTGAAATTTGGATGGCTGCCTTGTTGTCACTCATAATTTTGCTAGTTTCTTGTGGTAGATACCCTATTTCTGTTAGAAGCTTTCGTACCCATAAAACTTCGGTTAATCCCCTTGCAATTCCTCGAAATTCTGCTTTCGCACTTGAAAGAGCCGCCACCTTTTGTTTCTTACTTCTCCATTTAACAAGATTCCTATCAACTAGGGTAAAGTACCCTGAGGTGGATCTTCGGTCACCTTTATCGCCAACCCAATCTGCATCAGTATAGAGAAGCCTTACAAGATAACCATTTGACTGAGACAAGACTCCATGTCCGGCTGTTCCCTTGAGATATCTTATAATTCTTAAGACTGCTTCCATGTGAGCCTTCTGGGGTTGACGCATAAACTGACTTACAACTCCCACATCATACGCTATGTTAGGCCGGGTGTGTGAGAGGTATATCAGTTTTCCTACCATTCATTGGTATATTTCTTTCTCAGTCGGCTCTGCTTTCTCCTCCATATAGAGCTTATGATTCACAATCATCGGAGTGTCGGCTGGTTTACAATCAATCATACCAGTTTCTGCAAGTAAGTCCAAGACATACTTATTTTGACACATGAAGATCCCCTGTTTTGATCTCAGGACATAATTCCAATTTCAGAGTTAAGGATGGATGAAAATAAGAGGGTAATCGAAGATCCTAAGGCAATTGTTGACCGCAAGACGAAAAAATTACGACGCAAGATGGTCGAATTAGTGCTTGTGTGATGGAAACATACGAATGGGCCAAACAGATAAAAAACAGAGAAGAATTGATAGGAATCGGTTGTTTTTTTTGTATATTACAATGAGGAAGAGAAACCACAATTTATACTAAATTACAATGATCTAAATATGGAAGAAATACTATTGCTGGTTGTCAATTCTTGGTGAATGGAAAGCAGATATACGTTCTCCTAATTGCAAGGGATATGATGTGATTGGTTACCAATCTTGCTGATCTCATTGAGCCTTACTTTTAACACTCCCCCTCAAGTTGAATAATGGGATTTCCAAAATTCAACTTTCCCAAACATTCGTTTAGATTTTTTTCATTAACAGCTTTTGTCAAGATATCAACAAGTTGGTCCTCTGATCGAACAAACGGGAGTGTGATGATCTTTGCTTCCAACATCTCCTTGATGAAGTGTTGATCTACTTCTATGTGCTTCGTTCGATCATGCTGAACTGGATTCTCTGAAATTTGGATGGCTGCCTTGTTGTCACTCATAATTTTGCTAGTTTCTTGTGGTAGATACCCTATTTCTGTTAGAAGCTTCCGTACCCATAAAACTTCGGTTAATCCCCTTGCAATTCCTCGAAATTCTGCTTTTGCACTTGAAAGAGCCGCCACCTTTTGTTTCTTACTTCTCCATGTAACAAGATTCCTATCAACTAGGGTAAAGTACCCTGAGGTGGATCTTCGGTCACCTTTATCGCCAACCCAATCTGCATCAGTATAGAGAAGCGTTACAAGATAACCATTTGACTGAGACAAGACTCCATGTCCGGCTGTTCCCTTGAGATATCTTATAATTCTTAAGACTGCTTCCATGTGAGCCTTCTGGGGTTGACGCATAAACTGACTTACAACTCCCACATCATACGCTATGTTAGGCCGGGTGTGTGAGAGGTATATCAGTTTTCCTACCATTCATTGGTATATTTCTTTCTCAGTCGGCTCTGCTTTCTCCTCCATATAGAGCTTATGATTCACAATCATCGGAGTGTCAGCTGGTTTACAATCAATCATACCAGTTTCTGCAAGTAAGTCCAAGACATACTTATTTTGACACATGAAGATCCCCTGTTTTGATCTCAGGACTTCAATCCCAAGGAAGTATTTGAGTTCCTCAAGATCTTTCATTTCAAATTCTTTGAACAATCTCTTCCTGAGTTTGGTTATTTCTTCTTTGTCATCTCCTGTGATAATCATATCATCCACATAGATTATTAAACATGTTATGAGACTGCCTCTCCGTTTAAGAAACAACGTATGGTCCGAGTTACTTTGCTTAAATCCATACTTATTCATGGCTAAGCTGAACTTCCCGAACCATGCTCTCGGGGACTGTTTTAATCCATAAATGGATTTCCTTAGAAGGCACACCTCTCTCTTTCTAAACCTGTCTGTAAATCCATGTGGTGCTTCCATATAAACTTCCTCTTTTAGCTCTCCGTCTAGGAAAGCATTCTTCACATCAAACTGGTGTAGGGGCCATCCTTTATTTGCTGCTACAGAACAAAGAACCCTAATTGTATTGATCTTTGCAACTGGAGAGAAGGTTTCAGAGTGGTCAATACCGTAAGTTTGTGTATAGCCTTTAGCTACCAACCTCGCCTTCTATCTTTCAACTGTACCATCGGGTTTGTATTTAATTGTAAGCACCCACCGACACCCGACAAGTTTCTTTCCTGGTGGTAAGACACAATTTTCCCAGGTGTTATTTTTTGTAAGAGCTTTCATTTCTTCTTCCATTGCATCTCTCCATTGTTTTGATTTTAAGGCTTGTTCTGTGGTAGCTGGTATTTCATTTGAATACAGAGACGAAACAGAGGCCTTGGCTCCTTTGGATAGATTTACTTTGGCTAAGTTAGCCACTGGGTATCTACGCCCTTTAGACTCTTTTTCTGGTGAATATCTTTTTGGTGGAACTCCCCGATTTGATCTTGGTGGCAGCACATACCCTTCTGCTGGTGTCTCAACGGTCTCTTATTCCTCCACATGTTCTTGTTCCTCCGTATGTTCTTGTTCCTCTGCATGTTCAACTGATGTATTTTCTTGTCCCTGTCCATTCTCACTTTTTCCTGATGTGTTAAGAGTCTCAGAAATATCAGGGTGACTAGGGTGAGTGTTACTTACCTCGGGTACCAGGTCAGGAGCAGTTGCTTGGGTGGCACTGATGTTAGTTGGTTGTGTGGGAAGAGGAGTCTCATTTTGTAGACTGTGGCTTCTTCCTTCTTCAGATGTAGCATATCTCAACCAATTCAGCGTGTCAATACATTTTGTCTCCCCCTGACAACTGTGTTGGGAGGCATAATAATACTCAGTTTTAAGAAAATCACAATTCATTGTAGTGAACATGTGTCGGGTTTTTGGATTATAACACCGGTACCCCTTTTGAGTTATTCCGTACCCAACAAAGACATATCTCTCAGCACAGGGGTCAAATTTAGATCTGTTGGCTTTAGGTATATGGACGAATACATTGCACCCAAATATTCGTGGTTCAAGGGTAAGAACAGACGGGAGTTTAGTATATTCAGTGAGGGTTTGAAGAGGGGTTTGAGATTTTAGGATTTGGGTGGGAAGCCGGTTGACAAGGTATGCGGCAGTAACAAGGGCTTCTGGCCAAAAAAAACTTTGGAGCTTGTGATTCTATGAGAAGGGCTCGAGTTATTTGTAACATGATGCGGTTCATTCGTTCCGCGACACCATTTTGTTCTGGAGTATGAGGGCATGTGGTTTGATGAATTATACCCTTGGTTTGGAAAAAAGATTTCATTTCGGAGTTGAAAAATTCTCCTCCGTTGTCAGATCTAAAAATCTGAATGTTTTTCTGAAATTGAGTTTGAATCTTGTTGTAAAATATGCTAAATTTGTCAAGAACTTCAGATTTATTTTTTAATAAATAAATCCAAGTCATGCGGGTGCAGTCATCAACAAATATAACAAAAAAACGAAAGTTTTGTCCGCCAATGATTGGAGCGGGGCCCCACACATTCAAGTGAATCAATGAGAATGGTAGGTCAACTCTCGTGTTATTCGGTTTAAAAGATTTTCGATGACTTTTAGCTAATACACAAGTTTAACAATATGACTTGCAATTAGAAGAAAACAATTTCGGAAATAAAATATGTAAGTAACTGGTGGATGGATGTCCCAGTCTTCTATGCCATAGCCAAGCTTCCCGTTCCTTTGTTCCATGAGATAACATTACCACACCATTTTGAGATACCTCATCCACATAATACAACCCTTGCCTTTCAGTGCCACGCCCAATTATCGCTCCCGTCTTGATATCCTGTAAAATGCAAAAAGTAGGTTGCATAAGGACCGAGCAATTCAACTCTATTATTACATGACTGATTGATAGGAGTTTATGAAATAGAGCAGGAACATAGAGACAATTAGATAGCTTACGTATTGGTGAGATTTCGATCGTTCCCCCATTTTTTACATTCATTTTTTCTCCATTAGCGGTTTGAATGTATGATTTTGTTGGTTTAGTTGACATAGAAAAATCAGATAAGTTGTAAGTCATGGTGTCGGTGGCTCCACAATCAAATATCCATAACGGTTCATGTTTTATTTTATAATTTTGAGCCACAATTGCACAACCATTAACATCAAGGTTCTTTTTGTAATTTTCAAAACTCTTTTGGATAAGATAAGAAAAAGAACCATTAGAATGTAATTTATTTATTGGGGTTTTCAAGATACCCTCTTTCTTACCCCCTGTACATGTCTCCATCGAGAAACTTTCATCTTCTTCATCGATTCCCGTCGCTGCAACCCCCCCAAATCCGGTGGCGGTTTTCCGATCGATATTCTTATCGGTGGTCGGAGCTCTTCCTTTTTCTGGTCCGAGACCCTTGGTACTCTTCTTGTGGCCATCGGCCCACCATTCAGGATAACCAACGAGCCGAAAGCACTGCTCTTTGGTGTGTCTTGACATGCCACAGTGATCACACTTCAAGTTTGTTGTATCTTCTTTGATCATCGATCCATTCTTCTTTCCTTCTGATCGGCGATACCCCTTCGTGGCAAGCCCCATTCCCTCGGTTTCAGTAGCGACCAGACCTGCTGCTATGCCCTGTGTGTGGTTAGTTGTTCCAAGAATATTCTGGTGAGCGGCTTCCTTACGGACGGTAGCATAAGCTGCCTCCGCCGAAGGCAATGGTTCCAATCGAAGGATCTCCCTTTTGATTGATTCGTATTTTTGATCGAGGACATTTAAGAATTGAAAAAGTTTTTGCTCTGACCTTATTCTTGCGTAAGTATTGATATCATCTAGACATTTCATGGGGTTAGGATCGATCCTATCGATTTCTCCCCAGACACCTTGGAGTGTAATCCAAAATTCTTCAAGGGTGCTGTCATTTTGCTTGATGTCATTAGCCCTGACATGGAGGTTGAAGGTTTGAAGTTTGTCTCTGCCATTACTGTATGTGACCACTAAAGCATCCCATAACATTTTTGCAGTGGGGGTACTCTGTTAGGTTACCTGAAATAGTAGGTTCAATATTTTGGATGAGCCATAAGAACACAATTAGATCTTCTTGTTCCCATTACTCGTAAGATTCTTTATCTTGGCTTGGAGGATCAGAGGTCAAGTGAGATAACAGGGCCTTAGATTTTCCGCTTATGGCAACTCGAATCATACGAGTCCATATAGCATAAATTTCGCTATTGAGTTTGAGGTTTATTTGGAGATTATCGGATAGCTTTGGGTTCTGAGATTGGGGATTGATGCCATTCTTTAACAGATTGGCAAGCTGTAATGATAAACTGGGTTCTAAGTTGCCGTCTTCGGACATGGCGATTTAGTTGGGATCGAGATTTGAGCAGGCTATGGGGTAGATGATGAGCAAACCTGCTCTGATACCATGATGAAAAATAGAGAAGAATTGATAGGAATCGGTTGCTTTTTTGTATATTACAATGAGGAAGAGAAACCACAATTTATACTAAATTACAATGATCTAAATATGGAAGAAATACTATTGCTGGCTGTCAATTCTTGGTTAATGGAAAGAAGATATACGTTCTCCTAATTACAAGGGATATGATGTGATTGGTCACCAATCTTGCTGATCTCATTGAGCCTTCCTTTTAACACAAACCTCACCTAGGAAACAGAGAGTGGCATGATGAGTTGCTATCCACATCTGTTTGCTAATGCATGATTCTGAGACCGAATCATCCTAAGGGGGAGAGAATTGTAACGCCCGTGTTTTTAGGCTAAGCATTAGTATGATGATGTAATAGTTAGATTCAGCAATTGTAACCAATTTTGAAGTAATAAAGAGGAATTATTTGGATATTATGTGAATTATGTGATTTTAAGTGCATTATACTTATTTATAAGATATAATAAATTAAGAATGAAAATAAGCGTCAAAAATAAAATAATAGATAAACCCAAGGATTCCGGAGATATAAAGAACGACCAAATCCGGAGATATAAAGAACTACCAATCTTGCTGATCTCGTTGTAGTGGTCGTCACAAGGATTCCGGAGATATAAAGAACGACCAAATCCGAGTTATAACGAAGAAGTTATGATTTGTCGAAGTTTCGCGACAACATCGACATGACACTGTGTGACGTAAAAAGTGAGTTTACGATGAAGTACTTTTTAGCCTTAGCGATCTAAACGAAAATCAGAGTATTCCTTAAACCGAGAGCATGCATAAAACGAACGCCCAAAACTAACTTCGTATGAAGAAGTTCTGATTTTTCTAAGATTTGGCATAGCAGTTTGCAGCCCGGAATTCGAATATTAGATCGACTGATTTTTAGCCGACACAACCTAAATGAGAATCAAAGATCTCATTAATATGAGCTCAAAGATAAAAAGACAGATGAAAACGGACGTCGGATGACAAAGTTATGAATTTTTAACGGACTTTACCTGTCCCGGCCTGTTAAAAAAATATCTTTAAATATAAATTCAAAATTAGCCGACAGAGTCTAAACAAAAGTTGTAGAGAACGTCGTCGCCTACGCGTGGATATAAAGAATGTCGAAAATGGAGCTTGTATGTGAAAGTTACGGAATTTTGAAAATTGATAAGGTTGTTACGAGGGTACAGTGTACCCCCCGCGTACATAACATGTGCGCCTCGCGGTCTCGCAACACATGGATCCGAAGCTTCCACGTCGCCCCATCCGAAGTCAGAAACTTGTCCTCTCATACGAGTTGCGTAAGCAGGAATGCCCTACTCAACGAGGTACGCACAGCGTACCTGCTAGGGTACGCCCAACGTAACCGCAGCCAGACCCCTATAAACAGCATGCGAGGGCTGCCATGTTTTTGTTGCGTTTTGAGCATCCTAACACTCCTATGGTGTACATACAACCCTAGAAACCTTGGATCTATGTTTTACTATGAATACATGCAAATTTGTTTTTCCAAGGTTCATAACCTATCTAGCATGGCATGGGGAACTTTAAACATAAAGGCTAGAAGAATTACATACCATTTCAATAGTGAGTTGATTCCTTGGAGTTTGAGAGCCAAGCACCAATAATGTGGATGCCTCAAATGGAAATCACAAATCACCACAAACTTGGAAAAACTATGAGAGTGTATGTTTGCTTCTAGAAATCGGCCACCTTCTTATACACACACAACTAGTACCATTTCAAGCATCATAAGCTCCTTTATATAGTGTGGAGGATTAGGGTTACATCCATGTAAACCCTAATACCCATGACTCTTCCTTTCCAAGGATCCATGGGTTAAAAGCTCCATGGACTATCCATGGACTCCCATGTATGCCAAGCCCATTCCAAATGAGTATTAGCCCACACTTATATAAATACAAGAGACCATGTTTAATTTGTCACCTTTTTTATCACCAAATTAATTCTAAATTAATTTATGATCAATACTAATTAAATAATATGATTTCATATTAATATATTATAACTTAGAATATATTAACAAATCATAAACATATAATTCTCAAGGTATAACCATACAAATAGTTCGGGTGAAGTGCAACCCAAATGGACCATCCCGGGTCGGGTCAAGTATATACCAAATAAAGTTATGGATTTAGACACCTTATACCACAGTCTCCCACTTGGATAAGTCTAATAACTATATTTTCCTATATTACTTTAGGAACCAACCGGCAATCGTAGCTCTTTAAACTCTGTTGAACTATGAAGCGCCATTTTAGATAAGTGATCATATAATCCTCTGTTCTCAAGATATCAGCCAGACAAATACATGGAACAACGTCGTACTTATTGGCCAGCAGTTTGTTTCCCGATTTCCGATTTGTTTGACATAGAACTAAATTGAACACGTCAATTAGGTTCTGACCGGGCCCGGTACATACGTCAAAACAAAATCATCGAGGGGCCCAGATATCGCTTCTAATCCTCCAAGGACTAGAAGGAACAGATAAACTTCGACTCATATACTTGTTTCTACTACTTGTTGAATTATACACAAAGGCACGTTTTATAACATCAAGTTACTGATGCGTTTTCGTACAATCAATGCACAACCAACTTCTTGATGCGTTTTCTGCATGTTGAACCTTTTCAACACCTTATCCAAATAGGTACTCTGACTAAGTCCAATTGATTCGTTTTCGTGCAATCAATGCACAACCAACTTCTTGATGTGTTTTCTGCATGTTGAACCTTTTCAACACCTTATCCAAATAGGTACTCAGACTAAGTCCAATTAGTCTTTTACTCATGTCTCTTAATATCCTTATCCCTAGGATATAGGCAGCCTCTCCAAGGTCCTTCATAGCAAAATACTTCCCAAGCCAGGACTTCACCTCTTGCAAAGTTGGGATGTCGTTTCCTATGAGCAGTATGTCATCCACATACAGCACCAAGAAGCTAACTATACTCCCACTAGCTCTGACATATACACAGGACTCATCTTCACTTCTCGAAAAGCCAAACTCTTTGACATTCTCATCGAAACAAAGATTTCATCTGCGATGTGCTTGTTTCAATCCATAGATGGATTTCTCAAGCTTACACACTCTATTCGGGTGCTCTGTACTGACAAAATGTAGCACCCGGTTCCTGGTAAGTATTCTATTTAAGTAATTTTTGCATTTTGGCCTTGGACTCGGCGAGTTGAAGGACCAACTCGCCGAGTAGAAGCGGGATGAGGAGCGGGATTTAAGTGATGGACTCGTCGAGTCGGGTCCCGGACTCGACGAGTAGGCTCTGACTGGACAAAACCCTAATATGAGGGTTTGCACCCTATTTAAACAACCTTATGCAGCCTCCATCGCCCCTTTATGCTCCCAGAAACCCTCTATAGCAAACCCTAAGTGTTTTGGTGCAAGATCTAAGGCTTTTGAGTGATTTTGGTGGTTTTGTTCACAAGGAAGAAGGAAGAGCATAGAAGGATCAAGAGGGAACTGAAGGATTCGAGTTTGGTTCATCAATTGTAGTTCTTGAGAGGTATAAAGTTTGTACCTTGCTCTTTCATTTGATAAATCCCTTTTTGGGGAGATTTAGGGCTTTTATAAGCTATTTTTGGTAACCAACCATGATTGCAAACATGGTTGGGGGTTGAGGCTTTGGAATCAGGTCTTTAAAGGGGTCACAAGGCAGATTTGGGTTGCTTTTGCACCCAAGGAAGGCTCCATGCAACACTAGAGCCATTTTAGAGCCTTTTGGCTCAAAAGTCCCATGCATGCACGTAAAGTTTGTAACTTTATGTGCTAGATCGAGCTTAGTGGCTTGGATCTATCATTTGGTCAAGTGTTGTACATTAGAAATCGAGGATTTAGGGTGTGGATGTTATCGACTCGGCGAGTCCGTTCTAGGGACTCGACGAGTCCAAGGCTTTGAGTCCCATATCTGTTGAGGGTCAAAAGGACTCAGTTGGGTGTTAGAAGGGTTGTAGCATGACAGAAAGAGTGACCCAACACATTGTACTTAATTTTAGACCTGGAGTTCATGGGACTCGACGAGTGCTAGAACAGACTCGTCGAGTCCAAGGCAATCTTCTTATGTTTGAAGATGAACTCGACGAGTTGCTCATACAACTCGGCGAGTCAAGGTCAGGACTTGTTCATCAGTTGAAGGTGAACTCGACGAGTGTTCATCCGACTCGGCGAGTCAGATGAAGGTCCATTGATGTTTGTGAAGAAGGGGAACTCGTCGAGTCGTTGCCAAACTCGACGAGTCAAATCGTGGATAAGGACGAGTAAAGGGAAGGGACTCGACGAGTTGACGGCCCAACTCGGCGAGTCGGGTCAACTGGAAGTTGACTTTGACTTGGACTTGGTTGGGGGTAAAATGGTCATTTTACCCTAAGAATAGATATCAGACTCTAATTAAGTATTTTGTGGGGATTGTAGCCGGAGGATTTCCGGAGCGGCAGCAGACAGAGGTTTCCCGCACAGATTATCAGCAGCTACTTGTACGAGGTGAGTTACCTTCCAGTAGCGGTGGGTCTACGGCCACAATGTCGGCCCACAAGTAGGAGTTGTATGATTGGATGATTGTCTTTGTGATATTCATCTAGGTTTGCTACCACCTGATATGTTATATGCTAGCACGATATGTATATGTGACAGTAGTAGAGTCCGGTTGTTAGGACCGGAGGGTAGGCCAGACACCCCAAATATGTCTGACAGTATGTGATGATATGATTATATGCTGGCATGTTATGTTATATGTGATAGTAGCAGTAGGGGGTGGAATAGTCCCCGAGTGTAACATCCAGGAATTTGGGTATATCTGTTTAACCCTTCCTCTTCTCCAAATTGTCAAGAGAAGCCCCTTAAGGGAAATGTTTCAAAGGAGTATGCTGGGCGTACTGA